GTCCTGTTTTGTATTTTCTTTCAGGAGGAGGAGGATGGCTCGGAGGACGACGGAGACACAAAGACTCACTTCACAGAAAACATTCAGCCTGAGCTCAGCGTTTTCAGCTTCATGGATGAGGAAGTGGACGGTTTCATTTCTCCTGTGGACGAACTTTCACCCTCCAAAACCACAGCAGACATGGGGCTGTCCAACCTGCACTCGGCCACCATGTAAGTACATGAAGGAGAAAAACACACCCTCTTGTGTTCTGTAGTATTCAGCGCTTGTCAGGCTTTTTGAAACTGAATAACAGTTACTGAAGCAAATAAAAACACAAGCAAACAGTACTTCACATAAACAGCTATTAAAGTTAAAACCAAACTACAAACTACTAAGGGCTACACAGGTAATCTGCTAGGCTAACAGCTACAGCTATTTAAGTATACAGGCTATTTTAAGTAGTATTTATGTAACAACTGGTGATTCTAACATGCAGTTAGCCTCAGAGCTAAACAAGCTAACGGTTACATAAATTAATCAATATTCCATGTAACAGTTTCTCAAGCTTTTCAAAACTCACAGCTAGCTAATCATGCCGGTAGCTATTTGGACCAACAGCTGCTAAGGTTAATAGCTATTCAAACAAATGGCTACTTAGGCTAACACAGTGGTTCTTAACCTTTTTTGAGGTACCAAACCCCCCAGTTTCATATGCGCATTCACAGACCCCCCCCCCTCTCGACACAGAAAATAATTTGCGGTATTCTGATTTATTAATGTAATTATATTAGTTGTATTACATCCTCCACGCCACTAGAGGCAGTACCAACCCCGAAAAGATGTGACTAAAGAGCAGATTTAGACTATAGAATTTGGTAAAAACGGTGAGCTTTACTGAAGTAATTAAAGACACAAGTTCAAATCCATGCTGAGAGTGGAACTCCTTCCCGCAGCACTGATTGGCTAAGCAATGTGACGTGATCCTCTGGAGCAAGTGATGGCAAAGCGGGGCGTCATCACGACTTTACACAGTGTGTCTTTACCTCCACGGCAGAGGCTCCGCCGAACCCCTGAGACCGACTCACCGAACCCCAGGGGTTCGATCGAACCCAGGTTAAGAACCACTGGGCTAACAGCTGCCAGTAGCTCAGGCTAATGTCACTCAAGCTAACAGCTACACAAGCAAACAGCTACTGAAGGCAAGAGTTAGTTAAGCTAGCATCTACTTAAACTACTCATGCTAACATGAGTTAGTCATTGTGTTTAGCTTCAGAGCTGAACAAGCTAACAGTTGCATAAATTAACTGCTATTCAGAGTAATAGTTACTCAAGCTTTTCAAAACTCACAGCTAGCTAATTAGGCTGATTGCTATTTGGATTAACAGTCATTATACTTCAACAAATGGCTGCTTAAGCTAACCCCCTCTCAAGCTAACAGCTACACAAAGAAACGCTTAGTTAAGCTAACATCTACTCAAATTACTCATGCTAATGTGAGTTAGTTATGGAGCTTAGCCTCTCAACTACTGAATAGATTAGTTAGTCACTATAAAAGCTACTTAAGCTAATGGCTGTTTTAGCTTACAGCTATTCTGATTAACAGATAATGGCTACTGAAGCTACTCTACCTACTTGTGTAATAACTACTTAGGCTAACAGCTATAAAAGTTAATGGCTAATTAGGCTAATACTTACTCCTCAGCCAAATGTTCTGCCTACTGTTTACTATAAAGAAATAAACTATTTGTGAGATTAGGTCAGACATCTAATTTAAATGTTTTGTTTTTCCTCTCGATCGCAGGCAGGAACTCGTGGAGCAACTTCAAGAGACAAGAGAGGAAAAGAAAAGGATCCGTAAGAACCTGAAGGAGTTTGAGGACCAATTCTTCAGACAAAATGGAAGGTATGAAGAAGCCATGTTTAAGCACGTGCTCCTTCATGTTGGAGCTTCTCTCCAGTTTCATTTACTGATTTTTGCTGCCTTGTTTTTTCACAGAACTGTCCAGAAGGAAGACCGCTCCCCGCTTGCAGACGAATACCACGAATACAAGCACGTGAAAGCCAAACTGCGACTGCTGGAAGTTCTCATCAGTAAAAGAGACTCGACTAAGCTCATCTGAGTTGATATGGATTTAAAAGAAAAACTGCATTGAGACTGGTGCTCAGTTTCCTGTGAAGCAAACATCTCTGTCTGTTGGACTAAACTGGGAACAAACCGCTGCTCTGGGAACACAAAACCACCCGTTTCTTCTCCATCAGACCTCAACTTGCAAGCAGGAACTTTCTTCAGACGAAGCGGCATACGCACAAATAAACCTGAATCACTGATAATTTATTTCTATCAATTTGAAAGTTTTAAGAGAATTTATGTCCTATGTTAAACTGTAGAAATTGTTAAAGTTAAATCCTAATATTACTTAGAAGAAATTAGACGTGAAATTGTTATTTTTGAAGGATTTTGTGATGAAGATGTGTATTTATGCGTATTTTTCTAAGGGAGATGTTACTGTTTGTATCAGTTTTCATCAAAATGAATAGCTTCTGTTATCTCAGTTTTGGCCACCATGTTCTGTCTGAAATAATATTTTTGTTTTGCTTCTTTAGAAGTTTAATAATCAAGCACTTGCTCACTAATCACTACGACCCACACAGGCACTGATCACATCCAATCAAAACTGCCCATTTTTGTGACCACTTCAAAAGTTTTGTGGGATTTTGTGTTTATGCTTCTTACTTTATGCCAGATAAGCTGATCTGTAAGTCACTGCTTGGTGTTTTCACACATTGTTCAGGCAGACCAGGCCGGGCCAGAACATGGCCGCCCGTTTGTTTCTCTGTAAATACGGATCACAAAGTTTGTTTACGTTTCTGTGAGCGAGTACTTTTCTCCTTTCCTTCTCCAAAATGGATGATTACCTGCTTGAATTTTGTTTTCACTTAGTGTAAACACTGGCCAGGCTTAACAATCCTGAGTGTGTACATTTTAGTACATAAAATTGTATTTTGTATATAATATGGATTAAATCATATTTTTACTGAGATTGGTTGCCTTTGTGCTTTTTTTGTTTTGCATAAAATAAGGTTGAAAAAATTGATTTCTAAGTTTCAGAGATCAAGAGGCAGATGAAGAGAAAAAACATTTCTTGGAAATGACTATAAAGTGCTGTACAGAGGTTTTAAATTACTTATCATTTGAAATAAAGTGTTTAAAATTAAGGAAAATGAAATGAAAAAATGTTTTCCAGCAATATCTGAGAGCGACGGCGGTGAATTAGGACCATTATGGATATGGGGCAGAGGGAAAGGTCTTACTGCTGTTCAACTTCTGAGTTTTGACTTTTGAAATGCAGAAATTTCGGTTCTCTCTAAAAAAATTATGACATTAATCTCAACTTTTCTCAAAAGTGTTGTCTCAAATTTTTTACTTTTTATAAATCTATGAAATTTTTGACAAAAATCAAGAAAATATGTGGATTTCAAAACTAAAATTTTAAACTTTTGGGAATATTTGAAACTCAAATTTCCAAGTTTTTCTCAAATTTCTCAGATTAAGCGTATTAAAACGTTTGGAGATCTGTAGTTATTTTTTCTAGAAAAGAAATCTCAGATTAATTTCCTAGAATAATAAATTCCTAAAAAGTAATCAAAAGTAAACAAACTCTAAAGGAAATTTTTGAATTTCAAAAGTCAAATTTCAACTTTTGAAAATTTTTTACATTTCCAAGGTTTTCTAAAATAATTCTGAGATTAATCTCAAAGTTTGAGTTTTTTTGGCAGAAATTTGCTCCTTATTTTTATCCTCAATGACCTCAATACAGCAGCTTACTGTGACTCTGTATTTGGGCCATTGGAGATAGAAAAAAAAGCTTAAAAAGTGGAAGAATTTGCCAAAAAAAACTACATTTTTGAGATTGTCAGAACATTGAGAAACCAAAAAATCACATTTGAAAATTTAAAAACAATTGCTAGAGAAAAACTAATCTCAAAATTACAGATTTGTTCTAGCATTTTTTATTTTTCCAACTCAGAAATTTCCTTGATTTTTTTCTCAATATTCTGACAATCTAAAATGTTTGCTGAGCTCAGGCTGAATGTTTTCTGTGAAATGAGTCCGACTCTCTGTCGTCCGAATTTTCTACTTTTGTTTTAGAAAACCCTTGGAAAACCCCTTTAGTTTCAAAAATTAATTTTAATTTTGGAAAGATTATACTTAGAAAAGTGAAAGATTTTAAACTTTTGAAACTCAAATTCCCACGGCTTTTTTTCCAGAAAAATTTAGATTTAAAATTCTCAATTTTAGAAATAAAAAAATTCTCAAAAATGTCTGATCTTAATCTCAAAAATATAGTTTTGCTCCATCAAATTGCTAACTTTTCAAGCTGAGAAACTTCATTGTTTTTCTTTTAAATTTTTGGACAGAAATGAAATTTGTTCCCCTCTATAATGACCCGAATTATACAAAACATGTTTCAGGAAAATAACAGGAACCAGGTTTGTCATTGTAATCCATTAAAAATCGACTGAAAAACAGCCATGAACTCCAACAGAAACCTTTCCAATATATTTTATTTCAAACCGTGGCTAGAACAGAGCGCTTTCTGCAGATTTCAGACAAATCACATCCTCTGTAAGCACAAGAAAAGGTGCAGAAAAGTCGAGGGCTGCACAAACCTTTGCATAGGACTAAAGTCTGAAGGAAAACCAGCCTGAACGGAGGAATGACGGCGTGTTGAACGTGAGAACATGCAGCGCGGAGCTCCAGCCAAGGGATGCAGCGGCAGCAGAACGGCTTCAGGCGCTTCACAGGAAAACCCAGACTTTTTTACGTCACAACTTTTCTTATTCAAGTTATTGCTGAGCGGATCAAGTGGCTATACTTTGAGATTGTTAAGATATGCAAGACGACTCCACTCACTTCACACTAAGAGGTCGGACTTCAGGAATAAATAGGATATCAGGGCAAGCTCTAGAACAAATTCATATATATATATATATGCCAAGTATTTAATATGCATACATCATTAAAATATGTATTTATTCAATTATTACAAATTAGCTGCTGCTAACGTACAATGCAGCAGCTAATCATTACATGTACTAATGCTAAGATTTGATTATTTTTTCACTCTGACATTTTTGGGAAATACTTCAAAGTTGCCTTGATTCTTGCGCTCCAGTTAAAACATGAAGTAGATTTTTTTTTTAAATCCTCAGAATGACTGGAAACTGGAGTGAAAATATCGAGTTCATTCATCACTGCAACGCATGAGAGCGAGTCGTCGCTGGAATCCGTTTCACCCAACAACATGCACACAGACGACAACCAGGGACTAAAAGTCAGCTTCATGTCCTTACGGAAAGGAGAAGGCAGCGCCGTTAAATGCGGGTTAAAATGCGTCAGATGAGCGATGAGCGGCCAGAGACTCCTTTCTTTTCCCAGAAGAAAATTCTGCTGTTCGGACTTTAAAGGATCAGCGTGACTGTCGCCCTCCCAAAGATCAGGGCTTTTTTTTTAGATTTGATTCAAAGTCCTGTTGACACACATGTTCATCAAAATATAAAAACACTCTATTTCATAAATTAAAACAACAAAAACAAATATAGTGTCTCAAGGTGAGTCTTTAGAGGTGAAAAATAGAATTTAAGGAATAGAAAATACACAGCTTTGAAAAAGGAAACAAAAAAATCACATTTCTTCTGATTCTTCGGATCTCACTCTGCAAATACACAAAATGTTATTTTTTGTCTACTTTCTAGCGCAAATATCTTAACACACATGAAATAAGACAAAACTAACTTACAGATAACATTTTAGAACGATACAGGAGCTTATTTTAAGTCAATATTCCTTAAAATTGATGAAAAATTTCTGGCTTGACGGTTAAAATCTCTTAATTGAAAATCCTCAGGAGCCAAAATTATCTTTTTTCTCCCCAATTAAAAAAGCAATTATTGTAAATTCTTTATCCTTTGTTCGCACACCAATAAACTAAATGTGTAAAACTTGAATAAAAACAGACACTAATATGAGGTTTGCCTTAATGTTTACAGTGATTTAACTTGAAAATTATTTTCAGTTTTGTCAATTTATAAATGTTTTGGGTTTTTCCCCCTTCAAGCAATAAAAAAAAATTATTTTCTTCTAAAACATTCACTGTGATTACACAAATATAATGGAAGGGTGTGCCCAAGTTTCTGAGTAAAAATAAATAAAAGCAACAAATAAAAGAAAACTGTAAGTAGTTACAAACTTCCCATATTACAAAAAGAGAGAGAACCAGATTTGTACTATTCTTGAACTTCAATTATGGCCACACAAAATTACTCCAAGGACCAGAAATGGCCCACGACCCACAACTTGGACACCCCTGCCTTATAACATGGAAAAAATGTCTTCTTAAAGTAAATTTATCTAGAACTTTTCAATCAATATTAAGGCATTACTGACTTAAAACAAGCTCCAACATCTTGCTGAAAAGTTACTTGTAAGTTAGTTTTGTCTTTTTCAAGTGAACTCAGACATTTCCACTAGAAACCAAACCAAAAATACTTGGTAAGGTTTTGTGTTATTTTGCAAATTTCAGAAAGCAATCTCTTTATTTGAATGACTTATTTCCAAATATCAACGTCGACTGATCAAACCCTCATCGTTTCAAACATTTTCCAGCCGTAAAACCCGATATAAAAACATCATTTATACAGATAGACCTTTGTAGATTTAAGATACTAATCAACACTGAGTGCGTCCAGCATCCTCCTGCTGATACTCGCGTTAAAGTGCGTGAGCGCCCCCCGGGGGAGCAGCGCCGCCTCAGACCAGGCTGAAGCCCTCGTACTGCTCCACGGCCTGAGTCAGGCGGCGGCGCAGCGTCTCTTTGGTCTGGTAGCGCGGCATGTCCAGCAGGTTGTAGCAGGTGTGAGCCACGGGCAGGTAGTGCTCCTCCGCCATGGTGGACTGGATGACGATGCGGAGGCTCTCCATCCCGTGGATGGGGATGCGGTCGCTTCCCGTCAGGAACACTGGAAGAGGAGAACGACGCTTCAATTCAACAGATCCAAAACACATTATTGAAGGAGCAGTATTATGTGTTTTAATGCCATTTTATAGCTAAATAAAGTAACTATGTTACCTTTAGTTGTTATATATCAAATATCACTTGAAAGAAATTCGACTTCGTAATTTATCGCCTTGAATTGGGTCTCTGTCTCTTTAAAAACTCCTGATCTTTCTGAAACTCCGCCTTCAGGAAGTCATCACAACATGGCTCCTCTATCAACCCCTGAATAATGTTTTGACCAGCATTGCTCTGAGCTCTTTAATGAGATCAGCTGTTCCACCAGGTGTTTGCTAATTCATGCTGGCTAGTCTGAAGGGGCAGGGAGGGCTCTGTGAGACAGAAGCTCTGAAACTTGGAAACCACAGCTCTGAGGAGGAGCTGTGCCTCAAAGGCGGGGCTAAGTCCACCCAGGTGTTTTCCACAGCTAAATGGTTGCCATAGAGATTAAAGGATTTCTCAAACATCCAGGAAAGAATCAAGGCAACACTTCTTGTTTGTTTTGATGAGGGAATAAAGTCATAATACAAAGTAAATCTCAAAAAAAGGAGGTTTTATATGACTTTAAGATCTACGATGGTTATTTCTGTCAAAAGAAAATACGTTCAACACTCAAAAAAATTATATTTAGGGTGTTTTCCCAACGGATAGCTGGTGAAATTGCTAAATTTTTAATATTTTCCGCGGCTGCGGTTCACTTTCACACTGCATTGTGTAAAACAGACCAAACTTTTGAAAAACCTGTTCCACTCCTCGCCAGTGGGGGCGCTGCAGCAAAAACCACTAAAGGAAATGAGGTGAAAACTTCTGATGACACTGAGCACAACTTCCTTCTTTCCAAAATGTAAACAAAAATGTAGCAGCATCAGATTTTAGTGGTTGTAGTGTTTCTCTTTAGTCTTTAAAGACTGCGTCATTTTTCCTACTTTTTTAATTTCTTTAAAACATATTTGTGGTTTAATTTCTTTAATTGCATTTTTTTTTTTTTTTTTTACATTTGCTTTGTGGATTGCTGTTTTATTTCTTTTGTCTTCTGTGATTGCAACATTTATTCTTTGCTTTGTTTTTCTATTACATTTGAGGTGTTTTGTGTTTGCAGCACATCTTGATGTTTAATCCTTTTACAACAGCTGTAAAAATTTGGCTGAACGGTTATGATTTTTAATGTTTTCATGTCGACTGTAGGACAAATTAAACTGCAAAAATATTTCTGAAAATATCTACAGTAAAATAATTTTAAAAAAGGTTTTAAAGTGTTTCATCCGAAAAGAAGGCACATTCATACAAAAACATCAACATGGGATGAAACAAGAAGTCTGCAGTCGTGTATTTATATCCTCCAGCATGAACCAATTAAAAATTTAAATGCTTACATAAGAACTGCTTCTTCTTCTCCAGTGGGAATTCATGGAAAACCTCCCAGAAAAGTCGGACTGTCGGGTGAGTGGCGGTGTACTCCCCTTTGTAAACGGCGTTCTGTACACAGACAGGAGAAGAAGAAAACGTCTTGCTTCGTATTCATGGAAACCTGAATGTGTCATGTCAGATTCTCTCCTCAGTCAAAAGGTGAGAGTGAGGTTTCTTCCTCTCCCCTACGAACCAGATCAGATGTTTTTCACCTTTAAGCTGAGCAGCTGGTTTCCATTTCTGGTCCTAAAGGTCGTAAAGTCAAAACGTCGCATTTACAACCAGTTTATAATCAGTAACCAGCTGCAACACAACAACAATCCCATCCATCTTTATGCAGCCTTAGGCTCAGAAATCAGACGTCAAAGAGTGACGACAAACCTGCTTTTTCTGGAATGAAAAACATGAATATACCTGAAACCTGAACACCCTGAGGTCGCATCCACCTGCCAATCAAAAATGTCTGAACTACAGCTGCAGGAAGGCACATCGCTCTGAAGAGACAACTGCAAAAATACGAGTTTGGACTCAAACCTGCCTGATTTCTGTTTAATTCCTTTTTAAGCCTTTATGTTTTAAGAGAGACAGGTGTTTCAGTTGAAGATGGACGAACCTAATTAAGAGCAAAACTAATAATTATTTTAGTAATCGCTTATTCTAATGATTAACTGGACAAAAACAAATGTGCACAAAGATGATTCTTTTACCTGATTTCCGAAGCCTCTGTCGATGTCAAGCTAGCATAACTTACCAACTTCCCACTTCCTTGCCTTTTTTTTTTTTATTAAAACTTTTTCCTGAGATGTGAAATGTGATGCCCTTGGACATTGTTATCTAGTTGTCATAGAAATTAACAGAAAAGCACTACATCTCTATTGATTTTATATATCGTACATACATATACGATTTATCGCGCTGCGTTGAAAGTAAATCTAACGGTAGTCATCGTCGGTGGGGGCGGGATCTTATGCACATGACATCACGTTGCTACGCATCTACAGCCATTAAATACTTTTTCTAGTTGCTTTAATTAAAAAAAAATGCTAGAATTCACCCATAAAATGCTCCAATGTAAATCAAATGACAATAACTTATTGAAGTGAATCACTTCCACCTGCATCTAAAGCCAAACTGGGTTTTATTTCTCATTTTAAATGATGAATGTGGGTCAGACCGGAACCGGACGGTAGACGTGTCCAGGCCGTCTGACTGACCTTTTCCATCTCCTCCCAGTTGTAATTGTTGTTCCCGACCACCATGGCCATCAGCTCAGAGGGCTGGAACAGCGACAGGATCTCCCCTCCGCACACTTTCAGGAAGCCGGCGGAGAAGGCCGAGTACTGTTCGCTCACCGAGTCGGAGAACACGTAGCGCAGGTAGGCCTCCACAAACTCCTTCCTGAAACACAATCAGGGCGAGTCTGAAACATCTGCGTCCTCAAACATCAGCTTCACAGGAGCAGAGCGTTTACAAACCGTAAACACTCGGTTCCTCTGTCACTGTGTCTGCGTGTTCATATTGTCCCCATAGTTTTCTACAGAAGAACACGAGTTCATTAATAATAAGCTCAAGGTGGATCTGTTTACATCTGAGTGACGTTCTGTAAGCAGATTAAATCTGTAATCTGTTACTGCAGTAAATTCAATGTGACTCTCTAAACTCGAGTCGCAGAACCGCTGAGTAAAAGGGCCAGACTAAGATTAGGAGAATTAGCAGACTAAGGATGCAAAATTAGCAGAAGTCATAAAATTATAAGAAAAAAAGTTGTTTTAATGAAAAAAAAAAAACTTTGAGTTACTAAGATCTGACGCAACCAGTTCTCAGTATTACCACTTTACTTTGGTAAGTACATAAATACGGTGGTTTGATTCTTCTAAATAGTCACAGTCCTTTGAAAGTTCTAATACCAATAAAAATTTGATGACTGTTGTCACATTATTTCAACTTTATTTTGGTATTATTTTGATTCTATTCTTGAAATATTGCAACTATTCTCACAATATGACTTCGTCCTTGTATTATTGCAACTATGTCATATTATAACCAATATTCTCACATTATAACCATATTTTCACATTATTTTGACTCCATTGTGGTTTTATTCATTACAACTTCTCTCGCATTGTTTCAACTCGCATTATTACGACAATCTTGTATTATTATGACTAGTCTTGTAATAATATTCTCGTATTTTTACGTCAATTCTTGTAATTTCAAAAACCAACATTCTAAGTCTGGCCATTGTGAAACTAGCAGCAGTTTGAGTAGAAATGATAGAGAGAAGTGGACCTTTCACTTCTGAATGACGTAAAACTAAATAAAATAAAGTTTTGGAGTGGCCTAGCCAAAGTCCGATACTGTACTCACTCATACTGAATATGGGGCAATTATTTTTCACACAGACAATCCAGGTTGGTTTGGATAGTTTTTATCTTATAATAAATTAAATCTTTTAGAAGTTCTTTATGTATTTACTGAGTTTATTTTTCTCCAAAAGTAAAATTAGTTTGATCAGAAACATTTAAATCTGTGAAAAAAAAGCATAAATAGAAGAAATCAACGACATTTTTTACAGCGCTGTTCCTTCATAAACCTGAAAAGCTCGAGTTAACATCTCCTCCTGTCCAAACTAATAGAAAACTCTCTCACAAAGACTCAGGGATATTTTTGAAGATGTCACAGTGACCGTAACGTTCGACTCAATTGTTCCCGAGTTTCTCACTCAGCAGCTTCACATCATAGGAGAAAATGTCACTGTGACCCATCAGAGACGAAAAAGTTATGTTTTTATTTACCTGCATCGAAGATAACTTTAAAAAAATGTTCTCATGCATATGAAACAGATTTTCTAATTTTAAAACTGGCTCAGTTGAATTCATAACTAAAAATTATAAGTTATCTTTTTTCTAAATGTTAGGTAATGTTTGTGGCTCTGGCTGGACTAAAAACAAAAAGCTATTTCTGACAACTGAAAGCAAAAGAATGCAGGTCCAGATGGACCATATGGACTGTTTGGACTCAAATATTCATATTTATTTCATAATACAGCTCTCAGTTAGAGTTGTCCAACCTGTTGTTTTTGTCCACAGCGATGCTCTCTCCTCCAGGAATCAGCTCCTTGATTTCTGTCATCCCGTAGTTTTCCCTGGTGATCTGTGATGGAAAACAACACTGATTCATCATCAATGAATTTGAGAATACTCTGACCTACACAGAACCCATACAGTGATTTTGAGGTAGAATGTAATCAGAAAACAAAAGGGAGGTAATGATCAATCCCTGAGGAACACCACAACTAAGTTAAGCTACCAAGAGTGTCAACAATTATCTGTTTCAGCAGCAACAAACCCAAACATGTCTGCTACACCTCTAACCACAGAACTGAATCAGCCATCACAAAAACAAGAAGGTAATTCCCTTGTCTAGAAAAATCTTAAAGCTGCATAAATGCATGCCTAGACACATAAATACATAAAATACATGTATAAAGAGCCTACTTCTTTCACTAAAGTATTTTGTTGTGTAAATGTAGCATGTTTGTCACATTTTAATAGAAAACCTACAAATTGACTGTTGCAAAATCAAAGACAACTGCATTTTACACAACAGGGAGAAAAAAAAACCATAATTATTCTTTATCCGATACTAAAAACAGCTAAAACATCTATGAGAAGTTACACACAGCAAAGTTAAGAAGAAACGTCTCTTCTACGTCTCCTCCTTCGTAGTCTAGAAGTTGCTGAAGACTCCTGGAAAACAGAAAAAATGGTTACTAAGGACAAAGAAAGAAAACAAACACAGTCCATGAAACATATAAATAACAATTCAACATGCAGCGGATTATAACCAACAATAGCAAACAGGATATAACGCAGAGGGAGTGTGCTCTTTAGCTTTCCTGCGAGCAACACATAGGAGATTTATTTCCAACACACAGGAAACACGGAAAGAGGTCAAACAGTCTGACGACAAAGAGGCTAATTAGCGAAATGGGACGGATGTTTATTCCTACGGAGATGAGGTCATCATGAGCAGGAACTGCAGCCGCATTGATTCTGCAGCATTTCAACCATCTACGGCGTTTCTGTGGCGCTGGAAGCTGTGCAGGCCTTCTCCACGCAGATAACGTCAAAATCAATAGTTATATGAGGAGAATTACGCTCCGCAGAAACACAGATCCTCCCAGAGCAACATCCACTTTCTTACTTTAATATTAATAAAGAAATGAATGTACGCATCTGTAACGGTTTTAGTTTAACAATATTATACATGTGAAGTTTGTCAAAATGTATTTTTTCTTTGAATTTATTTTGTTTAGTCAAGAAGTTGTTTTATTGGTGTATTAAGTTCTGCTAAGCTGCGCTTGATAGGTTGGCGGTAACCATAGCAACCAGTAACTGTCAGCCCCTCCCTCTTTTTTCTGTTGCCGTTTGTAACTGTAGTATGTTGGGATCAGCTCTGTTTCTCTTCACAAGTATTATATTTAACATATATGTTAGATAAATTTAATCACATACAGTGCATCGTGAAATTTTGTAATGTTTTGTTTATATCTGGTTTTAATATTGTGCATTTTAGCTATGTTTAATTTTACAACTCTTACCTGTGCTAACTGCAGCTAACTACTGCTAACTGCAGCTAACTACTGCTAACTGCAGCTAACTACTGCTAACTGCTCAGTGGAGCCACTGCTCGGTAGTTGTTTAGGGTTACTTTTTGTATTTCATTTAATATATGGGGCAGAAGATAAATACAGTGAAACTGAGTGTGTCTGTCGTCAAATCAACTTACTGGTACTGAGACGTAGAAGTTTTACACAATAAGCCGGGGCTGTTAAACCATTTTCATTTGCATTATGAAGATCATGTTCTCAAAGAGCTGATTGTTCCAGAATATATTGATTGAACCTATGAAATTGTTAAAATATTAAGTACTTCATAAAATAAAATAACATTGAGCAAATTCTCACACTGATCAGTTTGCAATTGTTTTTGTTATTTTTTGCAATAAAAATCACAGAATTTTTGGTGCCAACTTAGAAATATTTGCATTTCTGGATAACAGTAAGTGTAACTTTTTGATACTCGCCATGGAGTAGCGATATGAAACACTGCCTCTTCTAGGTAGGAGTTAGCATCACTTAAACCAGATGTTTTTGATCATTTTTGTGGGAAATTTGCAGTGAATTTACAATAATAAATTAGAGCAAAGAATTGTGGATATCTCTGGATTTTGTGTAAACTTTCAAAATATCAGACAAAAACAGCAAAAAGATAAAAATTGCTCTAATATTTAACCACAGATCTATTATCCGACAGGCTTTATTCATGTGTTTCTGTGGAGTCTAGACGGCCACATTTGGCCCCCGGGCCTCGAGTTTGACACACGTAACAAACCGTTTACCGTGGAAGTTGTGTCTCGGTTTGAAGCATAAAAAGTGGAGCGAACCTGGCTTCTGTCGGCGAGAGCTCTTTGAAATCGTCCAGTGAAGGCGACACGTCCAGCAGCTTCTTGTAGAGCGCCAGAGGAAAGTGCAGATCCACCACAGTGGAGTTATAGATGGCCAGACCGCAGACGATCCCGATCAGATGAAACCAGTTCTGCTCCACAAAACACTGGGAATGTAAACACATTTACACAATACTGAACCTCACTGACAAACAAAACATCTGGAAACTTCTTCTTTGTCTAATCAGATTTGAAATGTTTTTCTTTTTCCATGTTTCTGTCTGAATCCGGCAGAACTGATTTAAATTTAAATCAGTTAGTTGGAGTGTGCATTTATTGTATTGTTTATCATTTATGGTAATAAATTTCTTCTGTTAATAATTTGGATTTAAAGTTGTCATAATAAATTCCTGTAAAAACAAAAAAACAGCTGTCCATGTTGTCAGGATTGTTAGTTATTATGCTTCCCACCGTTTGTTCAATGAAAGCATAAAAAAAATTAAAATATGATTCAATGTTAGGTTGGGATATATGGGCTTAAAAGTTTTGTTACGTTATTTTGTGGTACTATTGTGATAAAATTTAAAAGTGACGATGAACTATGAACTATTTATTGCTCCTATTTTAGGTAACCGTACGGCTGTTACTGCGTGTCACAGCAACTACAAACGCAAATACTGCCTTTGAGAAACATTCCCACTTTTAATACGTTTTTTAGGAAACCAGACACGTAAAGCAGTTCCCTCATGGAGGCGCTTGTTTTGTAAACCTGAACGTTTCCACAGATCACCTCAAATAAACGTCTGCCTGCTTCAAGGTTGTTATAGTGAACTAAAACAGGCAAAATAATGAAAACTGAAATTCAGAAAACATCTCTGTTAACTGAAATAAATAAAAATGGTAATTAATGGGGGGGAAAACTATAACTAACTGGAACTATACTGTGTGTTTATAAACTTAATTAAGACATACTAAAATTATAAGACATAATATCCTTCAATTTTGTGTTTATGAATCCATTTATTAGCCTTTCGATCTGATGTGAAAATGATTTTTCATCCCCCCCTCAGCTGTGGGTAAAATGTGGCACTTCTTTCTCCTACTGGTGGCAAAATGGCAACAGCAAAAGTTTGGAGAAAACCCCACAGTCAGCTGGTTATTCAACAATAACTGAAACATTGTTTTTATTGTATTTTCTGTACAGTATTCACTACCTAATCAATGTGTACATATTCACAATATAATACTTTGACATTTTTGAATTCTGCACCAAAAATTAACCAAAAAATGAAATAAAACTAAGATTACTACTATAACTAAACAAAATAAACAATATTTGATTAATAATAACTGAAAAAACTAGCAAGCACACTCTAAAAACTAACTGAATTAGACAAACAGAAAGACAAAATGAAATAAAACTACAATGGAAACCTACAACTATTATAACTCTGGCATGTATGAATCCTGTAGATCAATTCAAGGATCAACAAAAGTTTAAAGCTGCCCAACAAAAAGTTTAAAACCAATTCAACTTTATTCTGTCCACTAGATCCACCTGCAACGCCATGTTGTAACGGGATAATTAAAACATAGCAGAAAAGGCGGCGAGCGACTAACCCAGACAGCTGCGGTAAACCCTCTGCTGTCATTTTAATCTAAAGTCCAATGTTTGGATTTGTGTAAAATCAGGTTGATTCCTGCTTACTTTGTCAGAGAACCACAGCAGGTTGGAGTCTTTATAATGGGTGAACATCCCATAAACAGGATCCAGAAGCTCCTTCAGCAGCAGCAGGAAGAACTCTTTAGTTACGCCGCCCGCGTCTACAGCTTCCTCACCGTCAAAGATCACCTGCAGGGAGCAGATGATGAAAGAGAGTCCATGTAAAAAGGGTTCCTACACACCTTCTGTGTCTTCAATTTTCTGTTTTCTCTCTAAACAAGGACAGCTTTAGAAATTTGGAACATTGTGAAAAAGTTTAGTTTTTGTCTCTGCAGGAAATGAACTTTCTATAGATTCGTTAGAGTGAAATATTTCAAGGGTTTATTTCTTGTAATTGTTTTAAAACATGATTTTTATTTTCCTTTGTTACATAATACAGGACAAAAAAAGAGCATGCATATAGAAAAGGAACAGAACAGTGACAGGTGACTTTTTAATACAATTTTAAGGTGTTTAGTTCTTATAAAGGTTTCTAAATAATGTCCATTTTTCCTGTAGTTTTTCACCTTTTGATTGCTGTTGTCTTAGAATGCATGTAAAACAATTTTAGTAATTGATTATTCTGATGATTAATTAAGTGACGGGGAAAAAATTGGTTCACTGTGCAGATTTTTCATTGAATCACTGAAGCTTCATTTATACAACACCTAAAATACACAAGAAATGCAAATAAACAAATAATTCAGTTCCTTTTTCAATGAATGCCAAAAAACATCTAATATCAATTTATTTTTCTTTTATAGAATTTGAATTTGGTGAAGCTAAAAACGCCACCTGGGTAGAAAATATTCACAGCAATAGAAGAAGTGTTTTTATTTGTCTGAAATGCAAAATGTGCAGGTTCTTTTGAACAGTTGCGGCGTAATTAATGCTCTGAGTATGTTGAACTTTCAGTAATTTGTCTGTTTTAGTCTGTATTCTCCATTTAACAATTTATAAAATACTTAATTAGCTAACGATTACTTCAGTAATTGATTGTTTCCGCCCAACTTACAGATAATGAAAACGCAAAATTAAGTGTCTCAGAAGATTAAAACGTACTAAAAAGGCTGTAGTAAATTCACAGAAAGTTGAGTGGAAGGAAAAAGTGTCATAGAAAAAGGTGCACTAAGAACAGGGATAACCGAAGCCTTGAGAGAAATTCTGTTAAGAATTTAAAATTGTCATGAATCTGTATGAGTTTCAGTTTCTGAAATGAAATGACAAAAAATACTGGACTTTTCCATGATATTCCAATTTCTGAAGCTTTACTTGTACTTTGGGAAAACACAGAATTATATAAAGAATGATCAAAATGAAGACTGGATGGACTGAAAGCAACTTTTAACAATCAAGTGTTGAACAAAGTCTGCAAAACCGAACATTTTCCAAACTTATTCCCCTATTTTGACACGACTGAGATGCAGGAATCAGGGATCTGCTCACCTTGAGGGGCTTCTTGAGATCCACATCAGAGTACATGGTGAGCTCCCGCAGCGTGTCACTGACTAAATGGTTCCTGCGCACATGCAGCACCAGATATGGGTTCCTAGCGAGGTGGGGCTCCAGCGTGAGCAGCATGAAGACGTTGTGCAGGTTTGCACCGCTGACGGCCATCTTGGCAAAGAAAGAGATGAACATTAGATTGAAAAACAGACCTGCACTAAAATCTGAAGTTGTTTTTTTTCTCTCATTTAATTTCAAAACAGAATAAGATTTTTTTCTCCTAACTAATTTTATACAAACCTGTAAAGTGCAACTATAAAGGCTGAGTTATGGCTGCGGTTTCAGAGGTTTGCAGTGAAACTGATGTGAGTGCATGTATATTTGTGAACAAAGAACAGCATGTGGTGTGTGTGCGTTTACATCTCAAACTCGCTCAGTGTGTGTTCAGGCAACGTTTGGTCCCTGGATTAAGTATTGTCAGTAATGTCTTCCAGTAACATTAAATGATCTTATGTAGTCGTATTTCCAAATTCCTGTCAACGTTTAAGATTTAACACAAAACCACGTACTGCCCTAGCAGCAAGTTTTCTGGGGAAAAACACGTCATAAAAAAGTCGGATTATTTGGTGGTTGAAAACTTTTGCACAGACTTAAGAGGCTCCTACCTGCATTTGCAGTTCAGCATCTGTTTGCAGCATTGTCGTCTTGGCTTGGGCGTTCAGGATGAACGGGAAGGCACAGAGGTTCACTGAGGGAAAGTCGTTCTGCTGGGATCGCAACACTCAGCGTTACAAACCCAACATGAACATTTAAGGCTTTAATGCTCAAAATCAAAATACCTGTGAGGGGGAGGAGCCCATTTTCTAGGAATCAGAATAAAACGGGACAGAAAAATGTCAGGATTATGAATGCTTTGCAAATAATTGTCATCAAACAACACAGAAATGCGACGCTGCGCTCACAATGTCAGCTTTAGTCAGAAACCATTTGAGGTAGTCCTCCTGGATGTCCACCAGGCTGCTGATGTCTGGGATGTAAAAGCGACTGTACTCCACGTGATTCGCCCTTAAGTTTACCTGGCAACACAAAGCAGGTCTGCGCCTCAGAGCGGTAAAACATTTCATCCTCACAAGGACAATAAATCAACAACTATATACAATCGCAAAAGACATGTGATCAATATCAATAGATAGAAGACAGAATATTCAATAATCTAATATACTTTAGATTATCATATTGTATTATGACTTTGTTACCAGATAATGCAATTTTTCATAACAATCTCCTCTTTTGACTGTAAGAAAATATGTAACATTTTATATTAATCACATCAAATTTGATCTTATTCAAATATTTCTTAAGGTTTGCAGCAGTTCCTTTGGGTTTTTTCATGTCAGAAACTTTTCCATTTGTTGTTAGAAACGTTAACTTAAGAAGGCAGCCAGATGAATCTGACTGGCAGAGTTTGAGCATCAGAAACAATATTTTAATCAAATATTTTAACATATTTATATTCTATAAATGAAAAACAGAACACATAAATTATGATGGAAAATTTAAGATTAAAATGTTTTCCCTCTTCAGTACCTTGTGGAGTTTCTCCAGCAGCTGCAGCGTGGCCAGGAAGTAGTTATCGTAGAAGACTGGTACCAGGATCGTCTTGCCGCCCGTCAGCATGAACACAACGATGCGTTTGTACATGTCGACCATTCTGGTGAAGAAGCTGCCGTCCATGAAGCACCACCAGTTATCTACGGGAAGAAAATACGACCAAAAAACAGGAACACACTTCAGCTTTGCCTGTTAAAGCCGTTCAAGCGACTTCACAGATTACCCTAAAAGAAATTTGGGATTATTTGGTCGCAGTGTGTGCATGGAAATATGATACCCAATACTTTGCTGGGGTTGGCGTCTAGCCGAAGAATAGCCATCGCCAGGGGAATAGTGAGGCGGATGTAGTTCTTGGAGTCCTGCAGGGCGGGGTACTCGGACAAGATGAGGTAGATCCTCATGGCCTCAACGTCCGGCGGCGAACGCGGCAGCTGGGGGATCAGCAGGCTCTCAAAACTCTTGGAGGCCTAAAAAAAACACATTTATTACTTTCAATTTATAAATCAGACTTTAAAAAAGCTGCAGAGGGAACAGGAAACACTTTTAAGGCAGCAGGACTTTAAAGGTTCTGGACTTTTGCCTCGGTCTTACCACTGATTGCAAAGTCATCTTAACGTCATTCAAACAATCCCCAACCTACAATTACTAAACCATAAACAGCGGTGATGAATCAGAGCTGCCGTTTCGTTTTTAAGAGCGGTGGCAGAACTTGATGTACTTCCAAAAACAAACTCTAATACACATGCAGAGGAACCGCTGTCCTGGGAATGATGCGTTTCATGGAAATGGTTCTTCACACAGGAAAACCTCCAGAAATCACTGAAACATTAATGATGCTCAAGCTTCGCAGCAGCTGAAACCATTAATCAGATCAACTAATTATGGAAATAATCTTCAACTTGTCAAGTACTTGATTAATTGTTAACTGGAGTGTACAGACTCTAAAAAAGGCAAATTACTGAAACAACATATTCAGAGCAGTAATAAAGTCAAAACTGTACAAATAAATGTACATTTTGCATTTAAGATCAACTTAAATGTAAACTTTAATAGACAAATAAATTACTGAAAGTCATTAAATCATTCAAATGCAAACTTATAATAGCCGGTGCAGATAATTAATTAAATGTGTATTTAATTATTTCATGATTCCTGAAGTGAATAATTTTATCTGTCAAACTCACCAATGAAAGTCGAACATTCAGCTAAACATTTATTTATTTTACTGTACATTTAATTCATAATTGAATTATGTATTTAGGTAATTTTGTTCCTTTTGGTCCTCCATAAGATTTAGACACTGTTAAAGGACAATTTTTCTGGATATTTCCTTGTTTAGGGAATTATTTTCTTGTAAATAAGTCGACTTTTTAATTAAAATTCTGCTTTTATACAAACCAAACAACCTCAATGACAGACATAGGAGATTGATGGTGATTGATGGTGACATCATCACCAGATAACCAAACTGAGATCAATGTGGTCCAACAGAAAAAGCTTTAATTCAGTCAATCATTTAATGATTTGTGATTTATTGCCTGTTCCAGGAGTCCAGAAAAGGCCGGTTTGCTGAGAACCTCGAACAGCGTTCTGACCGAGTTTAGATCGATACCCGGGATCTTTGGGTTGGTCTTGAAGTGAGTGTCATCACTGAGAAGACAAAAACATAAACGTAAATAACCAATACCACTGTAATTCAGAAGCAATTTTCCAAGAAAAGAAAAACAAAAAGCTGCTGAAATTATAAACAAAAGGATGTCATTTTATATATTTGACACCTGAGAGTTAAGCTCACTAAATATTACTGTAGTTAGGTTTTTAAGTTCTTAATAAGTACAATAAAATAAAAAACAACCAAAACTTTCTACTTGACAGTGGAGATGCTGTTTACAGCAAAACCTTCTAAACGCTTTCAGAGTGAAGGTTGAATTTATCCTCAACACATCAGACGTCATCCTGTTGAGACCAAACACAAAGCAGCAGCAAACCGAGTCGGACCAACGACTTAACGACTCTCTCTGTTTGACCAGGAAACACCAGCAGGTCAGGCTGCCAAACACCACATAAAGGATGATTTTCTCCACAACGTCACTCTAATGACGTAACTTACAACGTATCGGGGCCACTGTAGAAAGAAAAAAAACGGAGGATTAAATTTCTGCCAAAATACTGAGAAATTTTGATATTTATCTATGAAATTTTCTAGAAAAACTTGGAAATTTCTGAGTTTTAATGTAAAAAAAATTCCACTTTTGAAACTCTAAGGTTTTTCTTGAACATTTCTGAGATTAATCTAAAAAATTCAGACTTTTCAAGCTCAGAAATTTCCACCTTTTTTTAAGAAAGGTTCTGTGATTAACCTCAAATGTTTGAGTTTCTTTTCATGCGATTTTTTTACTTTTGAATCTCAGAAACTTTCTGGTTTTTTCTAGAAAATTTCTGAGATTGATCTCAAAA